TGGGGCGGGGTGGGGCGGGGCGGGTCCCTCAGATTGCCATAAGGAAGGGACATAGATTGGGGCATGTCTCAGGAGAAAGAGGGAGGGGGTGTCATCTCCAGGTCAATCAAATACATACGCGGGGGTGGGGGGAGTGAGCATCTCACATGGGCAGCAGGCATCAGAGAGGAAGGAGCACCAGGTCAGCCAGAGAAAGATGTGCTGAGTCTGCCAGTTCCTTCACCAGGTTCAAAAGCCCAGCTCTGGGCTCAGCACCGCAGACAAAACCGTAAGCCAAGAGCCACGTTCAGATGAAGCCTTGTTAGTTATTAATCACACAGAGCTTTGTCCGTCTTTTCTCTATAACAGTGGCCCCCAGAGGGCAGATCTGAGACCAGCAATAGTGGGGTCTCTGGCCTGAAGGGTGGACTGGTGGACCTGAGCTGGGTACGGCATGCAGTACGTTGTGTAGTAGAATGTGGCTGCAGGGCACAGGCATCCCCCCACCCCGCCCCACAAAGCCTGCAGCAGCCCCTGCACAGGACAGGGCTCTGCGACGGGGGTGGAAGAGCCTCTGCTGAACCCTCCCCCACACTGTGGTGTGACCCAGGCTGGCCGCCTGTCCCAGGAGGTAGATCTGACAAGGAGCTGGAGAAGCACAGCGGTGCTCAAACACATCTGGCAAACATGCCCCCCCGAGCCTTCGTTTCCCCGTCTGTGAAAGAAGGATCTGGAAGACAGGACTGTTCTGGAAGGACTGGGGGTGGAAACCCCTATTCTGCAGATGCTGCTGTGATAAAACATCCAAAACACTGGGTGGGAATCTGCCCCCAGGGTGTGCCTGTGTTTTGTCTGAAGCTTTGTGTGGGACTCACAGGGTGGCAGGGAATCTGGAGTTGGTGGGGAGGCAGGGCTTGTCCTTCTTGTCACCAGCACCTCCCTCAATGTGGTGATGGTTGGTCCTGGCACCTGAAGGGTCCAGCTGGGAAACAAAAGGGGGAGTCAGTTCCTTGGAGACCTCTATGCATCCAGAGAGCAGTGCTTGATTTTGAGGAGGGAGGTCTTGTAAGCCTCAGCCATGAGTCTTTGCCTCTTAAAGTCTGAGCTCTCAGCCTTGCCTCTTCTAGCCACCAGGCACTGGGTGGTGTAGACATCGGGGGCCTTCGTAAGCACCCAACCCTGGTTCCTTGCCCTCCTCATTTGTAGTAGGACCAGTTGGCCTTGGCAAGTCATTTTTCCCCTCCTACAAAAGATGAAATGGCCAGGTGAGATAAGAGGCAGGTGTCTTCCAGGCAGATACTGGTGAGGACGAAGTGAGAGTGTAGTCACATACTGGACTGACATTTCAGTGGGGGAATTTGGAGAGACAGGGCCCAGTCTTTCCAGCACTGGGTTGGGTTCCTACACAGGGGCCAGATCCTCTCTCCCAAGGACATCACCTGTTTCAGGTAGATTGGTTCTGTAGACTCCCTCTCCTCTCACTGGAGACTGTCCCCACAGAGCACTTTTGATCTTTCTGATGGATTTTCCCATCAGATGGGGTCTCCTTGATGACTTTCCCATCAGATGGGGTGTCCTTGATGACCCCAGCACTCAGTCCCCAGTGAAACAGATGCCTGGACAGTGGTGTGGGTGAAAGCATGCTCTAGGGAACCAAAGTCCACTTCTCCCAGATGACACATATACGAGGCATGAGCTGCTGCAACAGTGGGCCTGGCAGCTCCCGGGGGCCCCTTTGTGCAACTCCGGCTGCTGATTCTGCCATTTCTCCAGCCACTATTGACTGAGCACGTTGAGCATGTGCTGCCTGTCAGCCTCAGAGGGGACCAGGATGGTGAGCTAGACAATCAAGTCCTTACCTTCATAGGACTAAGATGCCAACGGACCACAGCCTCCCTAGTGCATGGAGTCTAGAAGCAAGGCCAAGGAGCAGGGAGCAGGGAGCAGGGAGCAAGGAGCAGGAATGGGAACCAGAACAAGTCTCAGCAACTGTTTTACTTTCTCACTTGGAATTTTAGAAGTTGGGTGGAAAAATATGATGAAAGGAAAAACACGATTAGTGGGAACCCAGTGAAGCAGAACCCACAATTAACACGATTTCTCTATAATTTGATAGCTCCTCAGAGGAACACACTCCTGAAAAAGGCTAATTATATATTTGTTTGTTCAGCCCACAAATAGCATTTTGACAGCCGTTTTGTGTGTGTGTGGTGGGGGGTGGGGGGGAAGGACCTTGTGAAATCATCTCAGTCCACCTTCTGCTTTATCAGAAATGTCCACTAAATAGACATTGCACTGGGCTAGGCAAAACTGTTGGTTTCATTGATTAAATTTAAATAAGAAAACAGATTAGCCCCACTTGGGAGATTTGAAGATATCAGGTATATCCAAAAACATTGCTGAGGCAACTTGCAGTTAAACAGACATGGGACAGAGATATCAAAGATGAGTAGAATTTAAACCACTGAATTAAGGAGAAAAAACTTCTAGTCCATTCCCAGCAGGCCAAGAAATTGCTGATAATCCCTCTTAGATGTACAGTAATTTTGACTTCAGCCAACTGTGTATCCTTGCACCTTAAAACATCAAAAAGAAAGAAAACTTGTCGTGACTCCAGGCATGGAAGAAATTAAGCTTGAATTAGTTTCGAACTCACACCCGTCAAAATGATTGGCATATACTCACAGGGTGCCTCCTGGGGAGGGTGGGGTATGGGGATATGGACCCTCGTGCATCCATTTGTGGTATGTGTGCGCATGTGCATTGACTGGATATCTGTGGGTCTTTGGATTTGTGTTCCTCCTCTCCAGCCCCCAGCATTGCTGGGCATTTTTGTGACTGTGCAGTAATGGGACCTGGATTTGGTTCTTGTGAAGATGCTACCAGAGGCCTGCCAGAGCACTCCCTGTGGGAGGGTGATGGAAATCAGGAAAGTTCTAGCAGAAATGGGCTTAATCACCTTGGGACTGTGTGTTCACATTCCAGGAGGATGAAATGGTTGGTCCCGGACACTTAGCAGGGACCCACCTTCCTACCTTGGTGAGTGGGATTTGAACAGGCCCTACTGTGGTCAAGGTGTCAGGCCTTTGGTGGGAAGCTGTATCAGATTTGGCAAAAATCAGCGGTTCAAACTCATCCACAGAGAACCGAATTCAAAAGGAGCCTACTGCTTCTGTTTGTTGTCTTTTGTTCATCTTCTCTGGCCTTCTCTGTCTGCGGAGATGGCACACCTTCACAAATGGCCTTAGAATGCCATTCTGAAGTTCAACAGAATGAGACAACCATCAAGTATCAGATGTATTTATTATTGTCACAGCTTACCTAATATTTAAAAAACCTAGTCACCAATGTTTACAAGTCCTAGTAGACATCCAGCCCATGTAGAGTATGTAACTTACACAAGGGTTTGCATCTTTCTTTTGTAACGAGTGCGGTACGCAGCCCTGTATATATTTTACAATGTCTTTACAGAAAAAAAAATCATTTAATGTGGTGTTGTACAATGCACTTTTCTAATTTTTTTCCATTAAAATCTCTATGGCACGTTTACAAATGTATCTTGGTCTTTCTTCACTGAGAAAGGTTGGGCAAGACCTGCTTTGATGCCTCGTCTTCCTGCCTGTAAACCACATTCTGAAAGCAGAGAGCAAGGTCGACAGTCCTGGCCATATACCTTGTTTGCTCTTGGTCTTCCTCGTTGTGGACAGGCCTGCTTGGAGGCCGTTCCCCTAACAACCTTGGTCAAGTAAGGAATTTGCCTTAAAATACGAGACTATCCTTCTTGGATTTTATGTGCTGACTCAGTTATATTGTGCAGCTTGAATTGGATCCAGGAACCAGAAAGTAGATGAACACCACTTCCAGAAGGCAATGAAACCAAACCAAGAGTTTGACCTCAACTAAACCGAGACCAGATTTGCTGATTTTTGTTTTTCTTTCGTGGCCAAGGAATCTGAGTTAAAAATGAGAAACCATGCTGCCCTTTTTCACCGGTGTGTGTATGGACACAAGAAGGGAAAACGAGGCAGTTAGCAGGTGCTCAGTGTTCTTTATATCGAAGGCAAATCTGCTCCCTCCAGCTCCATAGGAGCTGCCCAAGTACTGGGGCTCCCGAGCTCCACCTGGAAGGCTCATGAAGACAGGTTTAGTCTGGATCTAGGATGGGGCCGAGAAGGTGCATTTCTAAAGATCACTCAGGTGATGCTGCAGCAGCTGTCCCAGAGATTAATGGGAGATGCTGGTCAAAAGCAGACCATGGCCACAGGTCATGTTCCTGAACCTGGCCACACAAAGCCAGGTTGCTTTTTGACTGTCTTGGAGGCCATGCCTCCTCTTTCCCTGCTTACCTGCTCAGCTCTGTTTGGCTTCCCCCAGGGCGCCTACTCAGGGCTCATCCAGGAAACAGATGGGCCAGAGCCCTGGTAAGAATTTTAATTCTTAGTGATTGAGGCTTAATTTACATACGGAAAAACTTACTCCTGGGTGTTCCGTTCTCTGCATTGTGACTTGGGGTCTTAAATCCTCTTAAAATGTAAATAAGGACAGATTGCTTTCTCTCCTCAACCCTTCTGTGGATGCCTGGGCTAGAAGCCAGGTCCTTCCTACCGGTCAGCTTTGCTCCTATGTGCGTGCCCGGCTTGTGCTCTCCATGGCGTGCAGATGTGCCCACGTGGCACCCCCACCTGCTGTTCCCTCTACCAGCAGCTCTTTTCACCCCACCTTCTCCCGTCCCAGTGTCTCTGCTCAGATGTGACCTTCTTGGAGGGTGCCTCTCCGGCCTGCTTTCTCCTCTAGCACTGATCACCATCTGCCAACTACTAAACATTTGACACGTCTATTGTGTCTCCCCCAGGGGAGCATGAGCCCCACGGGGCAGAGGGCAGGGACTTTCACTTGCTTTATTCATTCATGGCTCTACCCTAGAGCCACGTCTGCAGACAATAGTCCTTCAGCATTCCCCAAAACCTAAAATGATGGGATGAAGTCAGAGTCTGCGCCCTGGAGAGCCAGTGAGGCTCTTGCATCCTTCTCTTCCTCTGCTCCTCCTACCCCAAATATTAGTCTCGTGACCTGCACTGGCCCTGAAGGAGAACTTCCTGGCTCAGAGATGGATCTGAGGTCCCCAGCACCCTGACACAAGCTCAGAGAGGCTGTGGGACCATCCAACTCAGGCAGGTCCTGTTGCTAAAATGCATCCTGGGGTCCAGTGGCTCCAAGAATGAACTGGGGGATCCACAGCAGGGCTGGCTCTTGGTTTATGACTTAAGCCAATTTCTATTTCTCCTCTTTGGAAGAGTTTCTATCCTCAGTGAACCAGGTTAGTGCTTCCTAAGAACTCTGTGCTTTCCAGAATCTTCAAGGGATAATATGGCTGAATTCCTTTCTTGTCTTTTCTGTTATTTTAGCCAAGGCCCACTCAGCTCAGTGGGACACCCAGGGCAGTCGTGGATGAGGCATTTTCGAGTCCCTGGCTAATCAGTGCAGGATCCACAACTTCCTTTTGCTCCCTAATGAGAACTCTGATCAGGACACCTGAGATTCTAACCCCACATCAGCGCCTTCCCCTCTCCCCACCATCCCCCTACTGCTGGTCATTCAATCCAAACACACAAGGGCTTGTGCTGCTGCCCAAATGAGGAATAGGGGGCAGTGGGCAGGCAGGAGACTTTGGAGCATATTCCAGGGAATCTTCATCACTGTCATCATTGTTATCACCATGCACCTGTTAAGGGAAATAACGGCCACTTAAAATACTTTTCTGCATATCTTGATTTGTTCCTCCATCATGTGGTTAGATATTTACTACGTTCTGTGCAGGCTACATTTGGGATGGTCTGATGAGAGCTGTAGGAGCACACCACAGCAGGAATACACAGCATACTTGTTGTGAGGTCCCTGAACAGGACACTTGAGGAAAAAGCAGTTATGCTCTAGGGCAACTGAAACCACGGCGACAAAGAGGTCGTGATTGGCAGCGATATGCCACCATGTAAAGAATGTGAGGTTTCAAAGGTTTTACTCTCCCTTTCTACAAGTGGAAAATCCTATCAATTAAGAGCCACAGCAGTAGATGTTCCAGTTTGCAGGTGCCAATTTTCAAATGAGCTCCTTCGCATGTGAGCACCTCTGTGTTATGCTCTAGAATGAGCAGTATCAGAACTTCTTTGTTTTATGATTCTCACAAGCAACCCAGAGGCGTGAGCCCTACTATTTAGTATCCCTGTGTCCTTGGTCACTTGGCTCATCTGCAAATGGTCAAGTAGATGTTATCAAATAAGACATAGGAGATCACCTGTGCTAAGTAGTTCCTATCATCGTGTGGTAGGCATTGTGTGCTAAGTTCTTTTCTGGTAATCCTCAGAGCATCTCCTAAAATGCTTTCCATAGCATGCTGGTCCTACAGGGTCCTCCATCACCCTCCAAAAAAATGTAACAGGCATTGCTGTGTTCTAAGTCCCTTTTGTGCAGATTTACAACCCACACCACAAGATATCTCACAGCATTTACTGTCTTAAAAATTTGAACTTTGCCAACCTAGAGGGTTCCTGAGCAAATCTGATGAATCCGTTTTCCCCGGAGCACTGGTGGCATTCATCACCAACCCATCCTGTATGCCTGTGGTCAGCAAGGCTGTGCAGCAGCCCCTCCCACCTCTGCACCCTCCAGGCGTGTCAAGGTTGCACTTCCTGGTCCCCTGGGTAGGTGCGGTGATGTAATTAGTTCTGGCCGATGAATCACAGGTGAAGCGGCACAGATCACTTCCCGGCTGCAACCTGAACTGTGAGAGCGCCTCCAGGACTTTCTTTTCTTCTGTTGCACTGACAGGCAAGTTTCAAGATAGTGGCTGCTAAGCCCAGGTCCTGAAGAGAGGAGGTAAGGTGGGGACTCCCCAGCCGGCCTACGCTGGACTCACATGGTGAGAAAAAACCTTCAAGCCGCTATATTGTAATGGTTGTCAGCCTATCCTGATTGCTCCACGTTTGTTCCTGGGGACACCGTTCCTCAGGCGGTCAGTGCCTGGCGCATGCAGGTTCATGATAAATATGAGTTAATGACTGGCTGACATCATCTTCCCAAACAATAAGAGGGGTCTCTATAGAGACTCCAACATGCAATAAAATCTTACATCAGGAGCAGGGGGTCTTAATTATCTGGGTTTAGTATTGCCCACTCCAGTTTCACCCTCATGCAGGGTGAAATATTTAATCCATAGAGCCTTTTCCATTTTAAATGTGATTTTCACTTTCAATTCTTTGTGTTTCCTCCTTAAAACAGGACTGTGTGGGCGGCCCCATCAGAGGACGGCGACAGCTCTCTCCTTCTGTAAGTGAGGCAGTCTCATCCTTCCCTGGATCCTCAGCATCTCTTAACCAGCAGTGGCAAAGGTTGAATTAGAATGGCACCAGCTTCGGATAAAAATCCAGATCTCGTTTTTCAAAACGTGTCTAGAGCTGGTGGCTGTAAGGAACCAATCAAGCCTCAGCTGTGATTCTAATCCTGCCAAGTCTGCCTGAGAGCCGACTCATTCATCCAAAGAGAGAACGGTTTGGATGGAGCTCAAGGTGCATGGCTCGCTGGCATAGCCCAGACAACCTCTTAAAGGCTGGGCCGCAGAGCTAGAAGGTCTGTCACTCAGTTGGGGAAATCGCCTGAGAAGTTCAAGTCCACTGCCTGGCAGCTCAAATGAGTCAGCCTCACCAACCAAGAATCGCGTTGATAAACAGACTCAGAGAGCCCGCGCCCCGTGGGGTTCCCCCGTCTGCAACTGTCTCACCTGGCCCCCCCTGCAGGGCCCGGCGGGGACTGGGGAAGGTCAGTGCTCCCTGGGGCGGGGACTGGGTCTGTTTCTGGGCTCAGTGCCTCCGAGTCATACAGATGCCAGGTGGTCCTGCTGCTTACCCTTGCTGAACCTCAGGCTTCTCGTGTAAACAGGGCGCTTTTGAGGAATTATTAACATCTCCCTGTGAGTCAAAGCACCTACTGAGATAATGTATGTAATGCTTGTAATAAATGCAGCTATGTGCCAGGCACTCTGAGACACTGCCTTTGTGGTTATTTTTAGTTCAGCTGTATGCGTGCCGGAACGTGTTCCTGTTGGCTGTGCGTCTACCATGGAAAGTGGCTTCTAGCGTGTTTATTTGCCTGGCACCTGCCCCTTTGTGCTGCTCCTTGCAATAGCCCAGACTTGAGCCAGAGTACAGACCCAGAACCCCTTGAATGAAAGGAAGACCTGGTGTCCCTGAGGAAGGACCCTGGTACACTGCCACACATTTATCCTGTGAATTTTTCTCATGGCCATAGCTGCCTTCGAGAAAGGCTATTTACCAGGGACACAGTGCACTGGGAGTAGGAGAAAGATCAGAGTTTTTGGGGATTGCCAGGCCCTGGCTCTGAACTGACACTGATTGCAGGAGACCTGGAATCTAGCAATCAGAGGAGGTGATTATGGAGTGAGGTGATCCATGGAGTTGTAGGCTCAGGTGCATCTCAAAGTGGGTATCATGGGTCTCCCAACTCATCCTGTGGCTGTTGACCGAGTTCTGGAATGCATCCTTGGAATAGACACTCAGCAATGGGCAGAACCTGTACACTGGTAATAGACCTCACCCCCAGCCAGGACTGAGGGTGGACCTTCACGCAGGCTGAGCTAATTATGGCAGTGTGTCCTCTGGGCCAGGGGTGGCTCTGGGGACAGACTCCAGTCACAAATTGACCACTTGGAGCTCTCCCTATTCTTTCCTAACAGGAACTGGATGAAACAGCTTTCTGTCCCCGAGGCAGGCTGGCTGGAGGGGATGAAGCCAGCATTCAGGCATCTTGCAAGGTCTAAGAGTCCTTAAGTCCTGGGTGAAATCACCCCCATGGCCAGATCCACCCCTGTCCCCTCTACTGGCTAATACAAGCTCATCAGTTTTTAATAAACCAGGTGAGCTTGGATGCAATGACAGACATCTTGCAAGGTCTAAGAGTCCTTAAGTCCTGGGTGAAATCACCCCCATGGCCAGATCCACCCCTGTCCCCTCTACTGGCTAATACAAGCTCATCAGTTTTTAATAAACCAGGTAAGCTTGGATGCAATGACAGACTCTAACAGCCTGACTCATTGTAGGGGGAATCTTCTATTGTCCCCTCCAAATCCCTCTCTGCCTTTATCCACTCTGCCCTGTGTCCATGGAAACAAACCTGTGTGGCTTCCATGTAGGCTTGGTCAATGCGGAGCTCTGGCAGCAAGTCAGGAGGTTGGAGGAAAGAGGGAGGATTTATTCCCTTTCCCCTGTGGCAACTCTGTGGTCTGGATGTTTTCTAAAGCAAGGGCCTCAGCCTCCCCCAGGAGGCCCTCTCCACACTGTCTCTGGTTTCCAGGTTCTGAACTGCCCTTTCTTCCTGGCCTAAGGAAGTGAGTATTGGGTATGGAACTATCCTTTACTATTTCCTTATACTCTGCTGAGCTTTGGAAAATAGTCCCTTCATTAAAGCATCCACAAATTACCCAGCCAGACTCTGCCATCTGTGTCCTGGTGGACCCTACCTGCTGGACAGCCTGGACTAAGTGTACAAAATGTCGTTATGATCATCACTAGAGCATCTCATCAGGAGAACGAGGTACAAGTCTTGGCCCAGGCAGAGATCTTGGGAAAGATAATGTAAGCGATCTAGGAAAGGAAAGTATTTTCTTAACTTAGGAGTGAGCATTGCTCTATCACCGCACAATGTGCGCTGGGCACCCTCTGATGCCAGGTTTCCTACTGGGATAATCCCCCCACCCCCAAGGAACGGGCCTCCTCAGCAAGTGAGGATGGCCCTACTATGAGGGAAGAAATCTACAGGTCACCCCATACCCCATTTTTTTATGGTCCATTCAACATCAATTCATCCCTTTCCTGGAAGCAGTTCTAGATCCAAGTTTCCCGCCCACCGCCCCCCAATCAAAACTTAATTTTTATTGAAGCATCACATACACTCTGGAAACATGCACCTCTATTGAGATTTGTCCAGTGGGCACAGGGTCCGGGGAGCAGTGGCACCTTCGTGGAAGACAAAGGCATTCGTTCACGCACTGGCACAGCTTCAGGCCACAGAAACACAGGGTAGGGAGGGTTGGCCCTATTTCTACCTCTGTGTCACCTTAGTTGAGCTCACCTGTGCACTGTACAACCGGTACAACAATGTACGGCAGCCTTTGTTTTGAACACCAGATAAATTAAAAGTTATTATGCCAAAGGCCATGCAGGAAAGGCCAAATCAGAGACCTTGGTACTAACCAAAAGTTGTACCCCAAATAGGCTGGAGTATTACCTTGATGGAAGACAGATGAGCCCTATGGGTATGGTTAGTACATGCCTAGTCCCTTTTACACAAAACCATATTTATCTAAGGTGGGCTCAATTTTGAGACTTCTTAAAGATCCACCTCATTTAGGAAAGTTATTGAGAGCTTATTATAAGCCAGATACTATACTCTAGGGACTCAGGACGTGAATATTAGATACACAAGTGCCTTTGAGGAACTTATAGTCCATCATGGGGTGAGAAAAAACCGTAACAGATAATTATACCATATGTTTGAAGCAGTGTCATAGAACACAGAAAAACAGTAAGGAATCTGGAGCCCAGCAGGAAACAGGTGGCTGTACACAGTTGGCAGTCAGGACCGTTCTCCACTGGAAAAGTGAGCTTGAGCAGACGGGGGCAGGAAGAACATTCCAGCTGCTGATGGGTGAGAGCTGAGGCTTCAGGCAGAAATATATCTGAGCTCGCGGCCCAGGAGGCCCCTGTGACTGAATCCCTGCTATGTTCTTCGGATGTGAAGATGGCCTCTACTCCCTAGGCCTCCCAACACCCAGCAACAGACCCTGTGATGCTCTCACCCCTCTGGGCTGTCCTTATCCTCCTGGACTTTGCCTTAGGTCAGCTGAGCCTGGCTCAGTCAGAGGTCTCCGGCAGAATCAGGAGGCAGGTTGGACATCTGTAGAATGGCACATGGAGGTGGGGGGCATGAAGAGGGAACAAACTCCTGCCTGCTGGTCCTCCCCACTTTTTCAGGACCCCAGCGTCTGTGAGGCCAGGAGTTAGAACGCATGCCCCATGCAGTGATCTCTTTTGATTTCTCTCTTGCAGGGTTATGGCTAACAATGGTGAGACAATAAGGTCTGGGGCTTTGGCGCAGACTTGACATGCCTGCTCTGTGGGGTCAATAAAGCATGGCAAGGATGCAATGTGCAGTCCATGTGTCCCCTCTGCTCCTCTTAGCCACTCTCACATCCACTGCAGACTCACCTGACCTGCCATCACATGCTGTAGTACCTAGTGCAGATGCCAACTTACACTGACAAATAGGGATGAGTTGGAGAAGGGCCGGACCCTAGGGTGGTGATTGCTGTTGATACGTGCAATCTTGGAGTGGAATGAGAGTCCCCACCCCTAGCTGTCCCGTGATCTAACTTCCTAGCATTACAGGATGGCTGGCTCGAATGTGGTTTGCTGATGTGACCAGACACAGCAGCTCTTAGCTCTTACCATTCCCCTTGGAAGAATCACCCACCTTTATCTTCAAGGAGTTAACAGCTCTGGATTCTTTCTTGGGGAACCTCACTATCCTGACTCTTGGCCCAAACTGCAAAGGGGGTGCTGAATCCACTCTTGGCTTTGACCCTACAATCAGAACTTGGGATTCTCTGCAATTCTTCTCTGGCTCCTCCAGCTAGAATCCTCAGCCCCCAGGGTCTGGGTCTGGGGTAAAGAGAAAAGGAAGAGAGTGTCTTTGTTCATTGGTGCTCAGAGAAGATGAAGCTGGCTTGCATAGCCTTTGAGAGCAGTGAAGTCCCCAAAGAACCATCAAGAAAAGTAGGCCTGTTTGCTGGGCCTCCGGCTTTTACTGTTGCCATGGCAACGCCCCAGTGGGACACCAGGAATAGATGGTTTTTGAAGGGGGGTGGGGGCACGTGGCATCTTGTTTTAAAGAAAAGTTAGCATGTTGGGGGTAAGGATTTTTCCTGAAGGCATCCTCTGAGCAGGCAGGTGCAGGGGCCTGGGCTACCGTCTGGGGCTTTGGTGCCCTTGAGGGCTGCTCCCTTCCTCCTGTCCTGCCAGCCAATGGCTCTGCCTTTTATTCTGGAATGCAGCTCACAGTGATGGCCATGGAAAGGGAATGAGGTATGAAGTTCAGGAGCATTTGGGGTAATGGCAGGGAAGTAATTAATATTTGCTCACCTGTGAGCCCTGGAGATCAGGCCACCCCCTGGCCACACAGCCAGTCTTCTACAGTTAATGGGAGAGAGCAGGGCTTGGGGTCAGGAGGCCTGAATCCTAATTCTAGCTCTCCACCTCTTGCAGAACAAGTCCTAGGCAAGTTTCTTACACCCTCTCAAGGGCTCAGAGGTTATATCAGCTAGATATCCCACCAGAGAAGCAGAGCCATTAGGAAACATATTAAGAGATTTATTGGAAGGAGTTGACTTACATGATTGTGAGGTCTAGGCAAGTATGAAATCTGCAGGGCTGGCCTCCAGGATGAGCAGGCTGGGACTCTCAGGCATGGGCCAAAAGTGGTATCCCTAGGTGGAATGTCTTTTCCATCCAGGAAGCCTCAGCTCTGCTCTTATGGCCTTTCAACTGACTGAACCAGGCACACCTAGGTTACTTAGGACAATCTTCCTTACTTAAAGTCAGCTGATTATGACCTTTAATCACACCTATGAAGTACCTTCCCAGAAACATCTAGATTAGCATTTAATTGAATAACTGGGACTGTAGTCTAGCTAAGTTTAACACATAAAAGAGCTATGCAAGTGCCTCCTCTGTAAAATGGAGCTAGTCATTTTTTGGGAGGCTACTAAGTGACCTACATGAGGTATTTCATTTAAACCTAATACTAGCAGCAACAACAAAAGTGATAGCCACAGCTGGCCTTTATGTGGTGCTTGATAGGTTCCAGGCATGTTCTAAATATCTCTTTAATCCTCACAATGAACCTATCTGGCAGGTGCCATTTTGATCCTTGTCTTAGTCTGTTTTCTGTTGCTATAACAGAATACTAC